AAGGATAAGAACTCCCTTTAATTCCCCTTGACATCCCCTTTGTCCACTCTTCTAGCTGCTCCTCTTTTCGTATTTGTGCTGTCATTTTCTTTTGATCACAATGTCAATATCTATTCCGAGTCCACTTCCCAGCGTGAGGCATTGCCATTTGCACAGGAAATAATAAATGCTTGAACATAAGACTTATGCCAATGATATTCCTCAACATTTTCATGAATATATCTAATAATTCCTTCAAGTTTTAACTGTATGGTGTTACTGTTGAGCAGTGTAACTGCTTGTGCCGGGCCACATTTCAAATTAAAATTCTGAGACTCCGCTCGGGGTGCGAAATGAAACAGGCAAGAGGATATTCAACACACTGACTGAAATGACAGACGCTGGAAGGGAGCCACCCACCATGTAATTGCTTGCGCATTGTTATTTCCCATTTATTCTCCAAGAAATTGTTGAAATGCATATTAAACTCTTATACATAAAACGTACAATTACACACTATGCCAGTGGTTCAATGGCTCCGAAACAAAAATAAATAAGTAAAATGGAAGGTGGAGCAACATCAAGTTCAATTTAAAACTTATGAATGTGCAGGTCAAGATAACAGTTCGTCTAACCTAATCTAGATAAAAATAGATTAGAGTTTTTTGTTTGTTTGACTGCAACCCAGAATTTATGGGGATTTGAAGCAAATTCACAGATTTTAAAACAAAACTGTATGTGACTAATGTCAAATCTGTGAAGTCATGTTGTAAAAAAACATTTGAAGAAAACTTTGTGACATCAGGAAGTTGAAACTGAACCCATACTCAGACAAAAATAGTACGAGGGACAGGGAGGTGAAGATATTAAAAAATGTTTTTAAAACAAAACACGATACAGGAGCTTAAACTGTGACTCAAATTAGGCATCAGCTGAAGCAAATACTAACATACACAGAAAAAAATAGGAGTTTACATCAAATCAAACCAAACTTTACTTATAAAACATCTTCTATACAATATGTAACACAAATTGTTTTACAGTAGATTACAAAAAAACTAAAAGAAAAACAACTGGCAACAATATAGACATCCTTCTTTGCTGTTTTTGTAATCTCCTGCATAAAAACTAATTTATTTCGTTTTGTTGCTCCTCCCACTTGAGTTTCTCTCTGACAGGTTCGGTGGCAGGTTTGGACCCAAATGCAGACATGCAGACAGGCAGGCAGGTGAATTCAAAAATAAGAATATTTATTAAACAATAAATAAATAAGCCGACAGGGCGGCAAAACAAAAACTTACAGCGAGCAGGTAACACGAAGAGAACACAGATGGAAGCCAAGGTGGATAACCAAACAATGAACGGACGAGGATGAAGAGAAACTGAGCAGAATATAAACTAACAGAGGTGAGTGGAAATGAAAGACAGCTGAGCTAATTACAAGTGAAGACAGGTGTGGGTGGAAAGATCTGGAGAAAGGTAAAACTGAGGTGAAGAGATAATGACACAAAGAGTACACAAGAGGGAGGCAGAAGGACAGCAAAATAAAACACACAGAAACACAAAACTTCTCAGTACCCACCCCTCAATGAATCGTCTCCAGACGATAACCAAAAAACACAAGCATGGGAGGGAGGTGGGGGCACAACAAACCATAAACAGGACGGTGGGCAAAAGACAACAGAAGACACGAGACTTGAAAAGACAGGACAAAGGGTACAGACAAATAAATAACAAAAAACCAAAAAACTCAAACCAAAAACCGGCAGGATGTCCTGGGAGGAAAAAACTAAAAAGAAAAATGTCCAGATGGCCCTAAACGCATCTGAAGGGCTCAGTGAGTTCAGATGGGCGCCCAAGGACCCAGCACAGACAAAGGGGCTCAGGAGGGCGGCCATGGACCCTGCCGCAGCAGAGTCGGAGCTCAGGAGGGTGGCTGTGGATCCGACCATAGCGCAGTCGGAGTTCAGGAGGTTCTGAAGGTGCCAACACAGGAGACCCTGGAGAAGCTGGCACAGGAGACCCTGGAGAAGCCGGCTCTGGGGAATCTGGAGAAGCCGGCTCTGGAGACACCGCAAGGGCTGGCTCTGGAGACACCGCAATGGCCGGCTCATGAGACACTGCAGGAGCTGGTTCTGGAAACACTGCAGGGGCAGAGCATAGAGACCTCAGCTGGGGCTGCAGCTGGATCTTGGACCACCCCGAAAGCTGCAGCAAGCATCGATGGAGGTGTAACCGCAGGAGGTGTCGTAGAGGTCTCAGCTGTAACAGGCAGCGAAGACTCAGGTGGGGACTCAGGCGAAGAAGAGGTGGCGGGTGACGACCCAGATGTCATGGAGGAACCGGCAGCCGATCCAAAAACCTCGGGAACCACCGACTTGGGACTCGTCACCTCAGAAACCATCGACTGTGAGACCACCGATTGTGGGATCACCGGGATCGCCAACTCAGAAACCTCAAACTCAGGACACTCAGAGGCCGGCGTGGACTCAGGAACTTCTCAATCCAACCCGGGGTTTCAGCCGTACCTGGGGACTTCTCAATCCAACCCGGGGTTTCAAAAACAGTCTGACCCGGGGACTTCTCAATCCAACCTGGGGTTTCANCAGTCTGACCCGGGGACTTCTCAATCCAACCTGGGGTTTCAGGCATACCCGGGGATTTCTCAATCCAACCCGGGGTTTCAAAAACAGTCTGACCCAGGGACTTCTCAATCCAACCCGGGGTTTCAGGAACTGTCAATGAAGATGAGGTTGTAGAGGCTGGAACTGTCGACTCGAAAACAGGAACTGATGACTCATGTACAGAGGTTGGAACAGGAACTGCTGACTCGAGGACTGAAGACTCTGTAGGTTCGAGGACTGAAGACCCGGGTGCAGAGGAGACTGAAACAGGTGAGTCCGGACCCCCTGAAGACTGGGTCTCTGTAGACTGTGTCTCTGTAGGCCGCATCTCTGTAGGCCATGTCTCTGTAGGCTGTGTCTCTGTAGACTGTGTAGAATTGATCTCTGTAGACTCGGTCTCTGTAGACTCGGACTCTGCAGACTCTATGGACTGAAGACTCTGTGGACTCTGTGGACTGAAGACTCTGTAGACTCTGTGGACTGAAGACTCTGTAGACTCGTGGACTGAAGACTATGTAGACTCTGTGGACTGAAGACTCTGAAGAGTCGTGGACTAAAGACTGGAACTCTGAAGGTGGTGATGAGTGGTCGTTGTACTCAGGACAAAAGGGGTCATTTTCAGGATCATAGTCCGGGTCGTAATCCGGTTCAGATCCTGAGTAGTCAGACTCAGGATGTTCATCATCTGATGACTCGAACTCAGGATACCAAGATGACTTGTAGCTGTGTACTTCAAAGAATCCGACCTGCCTGGTCGACGTGGGCTGGGTCCTTTGTCAATTGCAAAGACAAAGTGGCTGTGAATTTGGACGGTCCAGCCATCAGCTTTGTTCCAGCCCTAACCTTGGCTTAAGTCCTGTCACCTAGCAAACATGTCAATGCTAAACATAAATAATGAAAATCAAAAATAGATTAGAGAAGTAAGTTATTGATATTATGAATTAACAAAATGAGCATAGAGGCAATATATGAAGAACTAATATGAGGCGCGTCACAGAAGCTTGTTTGTGATTATTTCTGACAAGAATTATAAAGGGGGATGCATTTGTGGGCCGCAATTGGAGGAGCCTTAAATTTGGACAGTCTTCCGTGCATTGTTGTGATGTAACCAGCCTTCAAAGGATGAAGCCCCTGAATTTGGACAGCCGTTGTTTAATTTTTGCCATTTTGAGCTGCACTAAGTTCAAGTTTTTGAGGTCAAAAACAACCATAATTTTAAAGTTATTTTTAAAAATTTGAACTCCACTTATGATGATAAACGTAATGAAAAATAATGTTCAACAAATATATTTTTAAAACTAATGATTAGTAACCCTGACAACTTCAAAGCAGAAATGAGTTTTGATGTTTTGTTTTTCCTTTATCTAATAATCTGTAATGTACATTTTCACCTATCTGTCACACAGCTACAGGATGATTGAAAGGATTGCAGGTGGAGCCTAAATGGTCCATATTTCTCTTCTTGACACTCTTCTTTCAAGGCAATTTTACCGAATCTCTTAATCAAAGCCCCGAAGCGGCAGAGGATATTTGGGATGAATGTTTTTGCACTAAAACTAAATGAATTGCATCTTTTGTCATTAGTGAGTTCTCCTTACTTCCCTTTTCCCTACTGGCCTTTTGATAGAGAACCTTGTAGAAATGCAAGAAAAATGTCTTGTAATTTAAGTTGTTCATCTGGGAAGCATGTAGTGTTACGGTAACCTTTTAGCGAATGACATATTCCATTGTCTTATAGACAATGGCAGCTAATGATGAACAATCCTGTAACTGTCAAACTGCGCTTGTGTCTTGTGCTCTTTTTCAATTGCATTCTGGTTGAGTGTTATTGTTGGCAATGAAAATAGCTTGGCATAATGGTAGCTAATGGAGCTTTAATGGAGAGTGTCATGAAATAATCAATCTAAGAATGAGCGCAGAGGAACAGAAACCCCATCCCAAATGAATTGCTGCGACATGAAGACAAAATATCTTTTTTTTCTACCAACAACTTGTGAAACTCAGTGGCAATTTAGGCCAAAATAAAGGCACTAATGGAAAGCCACAGGGATTTTGAATTTAATTTGTAAAAGCTGTCACCTCTGCAATAAAACCAGAGTGGAAATAAATCGGACCTTTGTTTTGTCTGCAGCAGTGCAGAGTGATGCCAACAGATTTTGGACAAAATATGCATAATTTTACATGTTCCTGCTTTGTTGCTTAGGATTCGTGGCTAAGGTTCAGATTTAAGGAGCGAGTACAGACATGGCAGAAACTGTAGCTTTGTGTGCGTTTTTACTTGTTTTGTTTTTTTGTCCCTGTTTTTTCGATGCTGCATTTTGAGTCATATTTTTTCACCTCCTACAGCCAAGCTCCCTGTGTTTCTGTGATAGGTTTGAGTCACTCACATTGACCTAGATGTCAACTCTTTGTGCACCCTTGCCAGACGTTCAGCAGGACCAGTGGAGCAAGAAAAGGAAAACGGAGGCGGATGATGTGTTGGGCTGCATGGGGGCAGGGTTTGCATGGACATTTCTGGGCCCAAACTTCACTTGATGTGAGAAGACATCACTGTTTCTTTCCGAAAACATTACAGACTGTGTGACCAACACAAAGTGACACTGCTGCAACACCATGGCTCACTTCAAATGCTGTTTTTTTTTGTCTAAATACTATGATTCATACAGAAAATGGTCCACATTGTAGCACAGTGCCAAGAACTTGCAGCCTTCAGTGTCTAACTTTTTAATGATTTGCTTGAACAAGGAGGCTGCTCCCTTCCACTGAGATATTAAATTACTCTTTTGTACTCCACTGGACTAGAAACATAGCTTGGACCATCTATTGGCACATAATAAGTAGACCTCCACAGTGGCCAATTGATTTTAGGTTCCCCATAGGGATCCCTGCTGTAAGCAGCTATGATGAAGACAGCAAAATTATTTAGAGTAGGTCAGATGAGCTTTTGTTGAGGGTTTGACTTTGTCAAGCACAACAATCAATATGGAGTCTTGTTGCAAATGCTGAGGGAAGGGTTCTCTGGCTTGTGCTGCTTTCAAGCTCTGATAACAGCTGCTTTGGAGAGTTCCTTTTTTTCAAATGAGTCAATATTTTTATGGTAAAAATGAAGACATCACCTAGTTAGTGTGTCATCAAGACATAAAATGTTCCAGGAAGGCTTCAGGATTGGTATTCACCTGCAGTTTTCTTCTGAAAGTAAAATTACCGTCGTGTGTTGACTAATGAAGCAGAATCAACAGAATCAACTCACTTTACATTTTGTCCATGAAAGAGTCTAAATTAAGGCTTCAATTAGCTTTACGGAAAGATTTTTCAAATAAAAGACGTGAAAATAATTGCAGTCATTTTGTTGTAAGATGTTTGCTTTTTCCTATATATTTCTATTTAGTATCACCTGCTACCAAACAGGTGATAATGGTTTTAATTGTGTGTGTGTGCGCGGCGTGTGTGTGTGCGGCGTGTGTGTGTGTGTGTGTGTGTGTGTGTGTGTGTGTGTGTGTGTGTGTGTGTGTGTGTGTGTG